GTGGCCAGATTCTTCATAAATCAAAACCCTTACGATTCTTAAATCTTCCAGATTTCCATTGATCGGACTTAACTATCCCGTAGTTTCCTGAAATTCAAGGAACTTCCGCAAACTTCACGTAACTTTTGTAAAGATTTTTAAGCTTTTGTGAATTTTTATCGAATTTTCAATGCTCGGCCAGCTGCTTACTGAATAGAATATCGTCGGTTTAAGACGTGGTGATCGGAAATCCATATACAAAACCTTCTCAAGAGCAGTTGTTGTCGTTGTCGGTGAAGTCACCGATCTAGTAACAGCGAGTTGAACGGGAACTGGATCGTAATTGTGCAATATCGCGATCCATTTTATCAAAAGCAGCTAGTAGAGACGAACCAGTCTAGGGCTGTAAGTCTCTTTAATAAAGAAACAAACAAAAAATCAAAAGCAGCTGACAGATCCTTATAAATCGCATCTACTTTGGAGCCTTTCTCCATTTGGCGAACGACAAAAGAAGTGAACCTAGTATTATAAAAGATCTATGCTTCTATAAATTTGCAAATATCTAATAATTTTAAATTCATGACGGTTCACCATGCAAAAAATCACCAATCAGTAGGTTAATATTGGAGCTAAATTGGGATTATCCCAACCTACTTTTGAAATCATATAAATATTGCAGAAACATTGAAAACGTATGAGCCACTTGTCTGAATTTCGGTGACCCACCTTCTGGGTTGGGAATGGGAATGGGAATGGGAATGGGAATCGGAATGGGAATGGGAATGGGAATGGGAATGGGAATGGGAATGGGAATGAGAATGGGAATAGGAATAAGAATGGGAAAGGGAATGGGAATGAGAATGGGAATGGAGAACAGGAAAGGAAATGGGAATGAGAATGGGATTGGAAATGAAAATGGAAATGAGAATGGGAATGGGAATGGGATTGATAACTAAAGAGGCATCGTGAAGAAAAATTTCTAAATGGAAAATTTTTAATGAGTGTTAAATCACATGGAACCAGTAGGTATGTACTTGTCCAATTGAAGAAAGAATATTTGTCTGAACCATTTTTACAGGTTTTTACCTCTCCTTTCTGTAATGACATAAGACATCAATAGGCCAATATTGGTCGAACAATACTTGTGTAAATAGCTATTATGTATTTTAGTCCCCACTAGTTTAACAAACATATCACGTAAAACTAAGTGCTTCGAGTTCATTACTCGACGAAAAGTGCATTTGATTGAGCAGAATTTCGCACCTTTTATGATAAATTTTATGAACTAATTGATGCTCGTATGTTTCAGCCTCAGAGCACCTACATAGCATAGCATAGTATAGCATAAACCAGGTTGCACAATGTCGTAGGTGGTACGAGCTCCAAATTGTTGTTAACAAGGAGACCCACCTTCATCCGTTGCTGTTAGATAGTAATTTGTGATTAATTACTACCTCTTAGATAAAGGATGTGTCTCCCTCCAACAAACCATAGCTGTCATGGCCACGTCCTTGCATCTGGCGAGGAAAGGGGAGGAATGTTAGTCCGACACTTACTTAAGAGAGATGCAGAGAACTCTACGACACCTCATAAGTGTCACGGGAAGGGTGGATTTTTGTTAATAGAGAGAGTAAGCCATAGGATACGCCCAGCCGGCGTTGCTGGCAATCGTTATATCAAGCATTTAATAAATAGAAGCTGTAAGTAGTTTATCTGTCCGTTGTTGCTGCCCATTACCTAAACATATTATTCTAAGCAGTCATCAGATTTTGGAATTAAGAAACGTTATCAGCTCGATCCGGTTGCTCCTTTGCGCCTGAAAATGTTTGTTGATCCTAAACATATGCACAATTCATTCTGATTGATAGGAGGTTCTCATGTGTAAAAGCTTATTAATAGTAACTGTTTGGCAGTGGCATTATGGATAAAATCTGCCTGCAATTATTTCTTATGAATGCAAGAGAGTTAGAAGGCGACAGCTCTACCGCAGCTACAATAGCCCATTTCAAGAACGCAAGCATTCCGAAGCTATTTTCACACATGATAAGCCCCGCCCCTATACATTATCGATGCAAATATACACCATTGATAATTTACTGAAGCTTTCAATCAAGCAGTAGTGAAATACTTGAGTAAGTTTTGAAATGATCATCTTGAATATGATGGATATTTCCTATCGAGGACAGAGGAATGAAAAGATAAATAAACTTAGCTGAGCGTAACTACGCGTAGGTTAGAACAGTCGGCACCACATGCAACGGATAAGAATTTGAAAATGTTCACTACATGCACTTTTCAACATCACTTTTGTACTTTCAAATTAACACTTTTAAAAAATAAATTGTAAATTTATAATATTATCTCTAGAACGAAAATGACGCAGCAAAATAAAAACACGTCATTTTAGCAGTGCGGCCTACTTCGATCTCCCTTCAGTCTCAAAGCACCTATGTTTACATTTCGTCGAGTTACGAACTTTTCTGTCTAGGAACATTTAATTTTACATGACATTTACGTTTGTTTACGTCTCATCCTTTATGCACAAGATGGATTCCCTCACATTTAAAAATTTCTTATTTCCAAGTGGGTACACTTATTCCCGGGAATTCAAAATCACCGAGAAATGCCCCAGGATTTCGATGACAAATCGAGAATAAATATGCTTCACTCTTTCCCCAAAAAAAATAAGCTGGACCTTGACACATTTTTCAAAACCCTTGGACTGGACCTTCAGGATGCTGTCTTTTCAAAGAATCAATTTGAGATTTTAGGTGGGAATTCCTATGCCATTTTGAGAAAAAATTAGAAGGAAATGTAGGAATAACATCGAGGTATTGCAGACAAATAATCCAAGGGAGTCTTGTGAATAATTCCAAGATAATTTTATATAAAGCTCCAGGTGAATTTTAAGTAGAGTTCTGAATAAATTGTTTACGCAGCTTTGAGGGGAAATCCAAGACCAGGACTATTACAGATCCAATTCTAATGGGTATTTTGGATTAGTTTGAATGAGAATTCTTGGAAAATTCCAGGAGTATTGAATTCTGAAGATAATTTCAAAATATTTCTCGAGAAGATTCCAAGGAAATTCTGAACGAGTTCCAAGGAAATTCCGCGAATAATACCAAGGGAATCGAATTTTGTGGCACGATTTAAAAATGGCTTCAATTATATGTGAAAGATAGTTCGTATGTACACGGCTGTTAGAACTGTCTTTCTTTGCTGTTTAAAGGACAGCTGTACGGGAAATTTCTTAATACACTGTAGTTCCAATCAGGGCTGGCAAATGTCTTTTTCAATGAAAGATTTCACGCGATATTTACAGAGATACTTCTGTCACTTTCATCGGATGAGCAAACGATGATAGAGATTTTCTTCAAAATCTCATCGAATGTTTTGTCATGACAGAACGTGACAGTGTTGTGGTCATCGTAATTACTAGCTAATTTATTACTATGAAAGTAAATTGTACCGATTAATTCTTAATAATATTTTCACACTACCGATTACATACGGTTGCTCTCTCAAATTAATCTAAATCAGTTAGAAATGTTGATGTCAAAACGGCATAAGAATTATTCTCATGAGTGCTTGATCATTGGAAAATGATAAGAAAGCTAATGATAGGTAGTTTCATCTCGTGATAGAGAGAGGACCTATTTTCTCATTGTCACATGACCGTCGTGATATTTACCAGCTATGGTTCCAAAAGAGATAGATGTGTTAACGTTTTATAATTAGAAAGATCTCAGCCAACTATGCACAATGAGAGGCATGATAAAAGAACAACTCCAACCCACCACAGTGTTACAGTCACCTCAATTTTCTCCAACTTTGAATATCGTTTAATCGATATACTTGTTCCCAGAGTTCTTCCGATTCGATTCCTTTCCTTTCACACCCAAATAATGTAAAATTCACCGACACAAGCGTAAATATCTCCCCGAATAAAAACAAACTCGTGATGACAGTAGAAATAATCTAAAGTAAAAATCCCCAGAGCAATGGATAAATATGTTCAACTTTTCTGCAACCAAAACAAAAAGGCTGTCCTTTTTCCATAGTTGACAAAAATTCCACTGCAGCGTAGATCTCCCGTCCGAAAATTCCATGCTCCCATTCCAAACAACTTGTTCACACATATTTTCGCCCATGAATGCCAAAAATACGAAAGTTATTTTTCATCGGCCAAGGCGAAGAGCGTTCCCGAGTAAATATTTTCCCGGCAATCTCCATTCCAATCAACAAGCACCCATCACCAACGATGCGCTCCTCCATCGGCCAACAAAAGCTCTCCGACTAAAAACCAACAAACGCTTGTGTCATGATGAAGGCGGTAGTCATACGAAGCTCCTTCTGCATCACGGCGCCCATGTTGTAGTAATTTCTCAAATTATTCACTTCGTTGGCCGCACAAACAGGAATATCGGAAGCGCTCTGGTGGCCAGCACCGCTTTCTACCATTTTCCAAATAGACAAACCGCTTCAAAATCGAACCAACGGTGGTGGTGTCGAATGGGAACATATTTCAACTGAGAATCGCTCCGTCCGAATGCCCCCGGGCCAGCTGCAAGAACAACGAACAGTGGGCCGGCCAGACATCATATAGGACTTGATTGCTGCATCTGGCACAATGGCGACGATAACCGGCGTTTTGCGGTGTGTCCAAAAATGGTCTCCAACGGACGACACCACTCGTAGAGATTGAAGTGGAATGGCATTCAGTTCCATTGCCAAAAGATAGGTACGTTCCATCGTACCTACCTTGCCAATCGTCATTAATTTTGCACCACATAAAGGCAAAGATGGGTGTCATCTGGGTAACGCCTTTCAGCGGGATAAATGGGGCTTTGGACACCGCTGGGTGAGCGCTTTTGAAGCTACGAATGTTGTCCAAATAGAACTGAGTGGTATATTGATTTTAGCATACAACGATGTAACTATGCGCTTACCACAATCAAACTAAGCTAAATGCATCCTTCCCAAAATCTCATCGTTTCTCATTATCTTCCTCTTTTCAGATCCATGTCATCGCAAACCGTAGAACCAGTGCCCGGAAGCCAAGACTTCACCGCTCAAAATTGCACATAATCGAGTCAAACCCAGCTTTATCCGATATCCAGCGCAACAGTCAAAGTCATATGATTAGCCTCGTATAGACTGCCAAGCTCATTCCCTTCTTCCCTCACAAAATTATAATCAGCGGAAACCAAACGCCACTACCGTCTCCCGTGAGCAGGAACCGAACCGGCGGCCGAAAGCTTCATGTGGAATAAGCGACGCCTCCGACGCCGGTCCGATGATGCTCGCCATGATGTATCAATGCTGCATAATAGCTGCACTAATGATAACGCACTGTCTTGTCACACATCAATCACCGCCGCTCCCGTCGTCGTCGTCCTCGTCCTCGTCAGCCATGATTGCCATGCTCACGGAATCGGTGGCAACCGACGCAGATGACAGGATCTTGGACCCGTCGTCCGAATCGAGGCTTCGAAATCTAATGGGCTTAGTAGAGCTTGCTAGTGCCGATGATCCAACTGCGGGGGAAATGGAACCCGTTAGTAATAGTGGAAGCCGTAAGGATGAAGCAGCTGGAACAGAAGGAGGAGGACGTAAGACTGGGCTGGATAGAAGTAGCAGTAGGAACGCCCTTGATGGCGATGACCTTGTAGCCACCGGAAAAGGCTACCCAACGAAGCAGCGTAGCAGCACAACGCTAGCAGGTAGGTTGAGAATCATTGGCGTAGCTAGGGGGCAGAATTTTTGGGGATTGCAAACTCAAGCAGACTCGAGTTTGTGTAGTTCCACGCCTACTGGCGAATCGGTTTTATTTTCCCCTCTCCGAATTGCATGGAACATCGCATAATTGCTCACTAGGGGGCAATGAACCAAGTTGGTGCTGGAATTCGGCTATTTTGAATCGCGCCTAAGTTTTCAAAATGGCATATTCGAAACTGGGAAAACTGAACTTTTTCAGAACAAAAAATGCCTTAGAAAATCACTTAGTTGACCGATCCTTTTCAAACTTTGAAGACAATAAAATATAACCCATTAGTAAGCGTTTGGCATATTTATTTCATTCAAGTTTAATACCATGACCGTACGCTCGCACCTTACGCTTAACCAAAGACAACAAATCAAGAAGACTGGCATCTCTTCCATTTTCTCATACGAACGCTATGAGACAGGAACAATCGTTTCATCTGTCGCTCAAAGGTAAATGCTTTGAACGAATTTGATAGCAGAGATTACATCCTCAGAAGGAAGGTTTGTGTATTTGCTCATTTTGACGTAGGACTACGTCCTTAATTTCTATACTGGGGGCCACATTAAAAAATCAAAATTCAGACATGTAACGAAAAATCCCAAACACGGACGCAACGATAGAGCGCAAATCGAACACACGATACATTTCGCATGCTCACATGAGCGAGCTCAATACTCAATACTACGAGCTCAATAGCTTTCGAGCAACGGACGGATAAACGTCGGAGACGACGTATGAGTGCAACAGCACGCATCGCACCAATACGAAGACAACGACGATGACGGAAACACCCACATCGACCGGAGAAAAGGCTTTCTGCAATAGGTAGCATGACTAGGCCGCCGTCATCCGGTCGGCATCGACTTGCACTGGTTTGGCCACCATTTGAAAAACAACCAGCCCTTTTCAGGGCCACCAATTCAAAAACGGAAAAAGTTAAGAACTAAATGATCAACTTATTTGTTCCGTCCACTAGATAGCGGTCCTACGTCAAGCTTACGTTCGTGCCCCTAGGCACAGACCCTTCTACTTTTTCTATGCGTTGCTTCCACCTTCACTCAAGCGCAGCGTTATTGTATCTGTCGCTTGGATTCTGGCAAAGTTGCCAGTCTTCTTGATATGATGTCTTCGGTTTAACTCTACTCATTAGGTTCTGTACAATATCTGGCTGCAGCTTCTTCTGTACGGAAACCCACTTTTTCTTCCTCAGATTTGACCTCCTTGGGATGCTTCCATAGTGCCTGCTCCATAATAATCCAGTATTTTTCGATCGGCGTTAGTTCCGGTGCGTTGGTGTGAGGGGGAGGGGGTTTGTTCTTGGGTACGAAAGTGACCCCGTTGGCTTCGTACTACTCCCGGACAACATTCGAATAGTGGCACGAAACTAGATCTGGCCAGAAGATCGTAGGGCCCTCGTGTTACTTCAACCGAACGCTTCTGTAGACACTCTTTGAGGTAGATCTCGCCGTGTACAGTCCCGGTAGTCACGAACGGCGCTCTCCGTTTGCCACATGAGCAGATCGCTTACCAAATCATGTATTTCTAGGCAAACTTTGAAAGTTTCTGCTTCCTTACTTCCTCGGGAACATCAAACTTGTGCTGGGCGGTGAAGAGCTATAGCCCTGGAAGCTACCGGAAGTCCGCCTTGACGAAAATCTCATCATCCACGATGAGACAATGAGGCTTCGTCAACATCTGGGTGTACAGTTTCCGGGCCCGTGACTTTCCCATCGTATTTTGCCGTTCGTCACGATTTGGAGCCTTCTGCACGTTGTACGTATGCAGTCCGGTCCTTGGCTCTCTGAACGAAAGACTTGGACAGATTCAACTTTTTGAACAAATCACTGTCCGAAACATTGGGATTCCGCTTAAACGCTTTCACGAGACGCTTGTGATCCTGATCACCAATAGAACATCCATTCTGACCGCATTTCTCCTTCCATTCGAGAGTTGAGGATTTTCCAGGAGCTTGCGCAAAATCAATTTGCGACGTTGCTTTTCAGGTGATGGTGATTTCAAGGCGATGTGATTGTTTGTTTGCATTGTGAGAATAACAAATTTCTGATTCATCACAGTTTTAGCTGCAGGACACCTTATACAGGTAGACATTAGTTGCCTAAACAAATTTTTGCTTGTATAAGCCGTTCTGTGGTTGAATCCATAGCATTTCGCGCTGTGAACAAAAACAGTTACCACTTGTCCACTGAGCCCCACTTTTATAAATTAATCAACTTTAATCGAGTATCCAATTGAGTAGATGTTTTAACCGTTCAATTCCGGCGGTGATTTCAATGACGACGACGACGACGACAACGACTGTCACGTCAATTTAAACATCATTAGAAAACCAGCATTTTTCGCATCTGCCATCAACATGGGGCAATATGACCGGTTTGAATCGATCCGAACCAAACAACCGACCCCAAAGCCAAATTGTACGACACGCGAGCATGGGGACTAAAATCGAACACACATGTCGACCGATAACGGATCGGAAAATTTATGAGTTCAAAGTTGTAAACTCTTTTCTGCTGCTGGTGGTGCGTGAAACTCCGTGTTGCTAGGTTTGGGTTGTTATGAGGATACCTATCCTCGAAAAATGGAGAAGATTGAAAGGCACGTCGACGACGTCGACGGTTGTTGGCCTGTCAGCAACAGAGCGAGAGAGAGAGAGAGAGAGAGAGAGAGAGAGAGAGAGAGAGCTCAAAAAGTGAAAATACAAAGCTCGTACATCACTTGTTGGCTGGCTGGTCGGTTCCAATGCTGTGGACGTGAAACTCGCACGTGATTGGAATTTTGGGCGCACAAAGTGATGAAAGAGGAAACGTAAAGTTGTTAACATATCCCGGTTTCGCAAATTGCATTATTCGCATGCTGATCGTGGGAGGGTTAGGAATGGTGCTAATTTGGACGGCAGCGGCGTTGACTACTGATTGAGTGAAAATGCCCTCTGATTAATGGGGGTGTGAATGGTGCTGAAAATGTGTCAATTAGATGCTAAATATGCATAGGAGGAAGCTAGATGTTCACGTGTTGAACCACAAGCTATAATAACTGTCGTACTGATTTCTCATTTGCAAACCCCCAATTACTGAGCAGTAGGTGGTGCGGTGCCAGCGTATAATGTCGTTGTCGTTCCAATGGCGAATTGAATTGAATTTGCGGTTAGAAATTTTAATTGCAGTTCGCAGTTTGGTCCAATTTGATAATTAATGTTACCACATTATGATCCCATTTGCCATACAGTCATTGCCCCGTTGATAATAATTAGCTATACGTGCCGTTGGCTCACCTGGCCAACCAGAACAGTGGCAATCCGCTGTGTATATTTTGCATTTAATTGAAATACCACCAACTGTCATCGAAAATTTTCACCGGATAACTTTTGAGGTTTGCTGCCACTGTTGCACTTTGGTTCGTTCCATATTGAAATACTTCGGTAAACAGTTCCAACTGCCGGCCCCACCACCGGTTATCAAGCTCCTGTGAAAGCAGCGTAGCAATCCCAAGTGAAACCAAACCCCCCGAGATGGAGTCCACCTGCCGCAAGTGTTTGTGATTTTAATTTGATAACTTTGTTGCAAACAATTTTAACAATTCAATTCGCTGTGACTGTGGTGGCATCGCAGCCGAAGTGCAGCTGATGTGCGGGGAGCCGAGGTGTCTTCCGAGAGGTGCTCCCTATACAGGATGCCAAGTGGACATTGTTTGTGGAAACATTTGCTAAATTAAATAGTTTACTGAATTTCGCTTACTGAAGAGGGCTGGTTCGAAATGGTTGACGAGACGTGAGCTTGCAATGTTGTTCCTCGATGGCACACGGTAGCATTTGGTGGTGGTGTAACAAGCTGAATGTTGGTAATTTTCTCTAACTTTGTCACACCGACATTCGGTTGGGAAATAATGAGATGTAATTGGGAGTTGTCACTTCAGTTTGGGGAACATTTCTGAAGGCAGTTGACCCATATTCGGCACAGTTAAATAAACGATGAGTTAATAGTCTTTCTCCAAAGAAACTATGGATTGCATTTCAATATTAACGAAATAGCAGGAAATAGATTGAGTTAGTGCTTTTCCCACCAGAGCACTTAGGTCGAAAATGCAAAATTTCATGACAAAAACCGATGTCTCGGAAACCATGTACTCTAAAGGTTTTACATATTCCAGAAAGTTTGTCTTGTAGAAAAGAATTCCATCCTGATGAATGTGGGCGTCTTAGGGGAATACCTGTATAATGAGAGAGAGAGAGAGAGAGAGAGAGAGAGAGAGAGAGAGAGAGAGAGAAGGATTAGTAATTTCCATTTCATTCCACTACCTTATTTGCTTATCCTTGACAGATACGCGTATTTCATCTACAATGTGCAGATTTCTTCAGTGTCTTGTAATACTCGACTAGTCTTTCGAAGGCTGATGAAATGCTAGATAAAGGTTTTTGTGTAAAAACAATCCATTTTTACAGGATACTTTTCTCCAAAAGGAGCAAACATGAGCAAAAGTTTTACGCATATTCTAAAAGTACATTAATTACAAAACCTTTTGAATACTATTTGTCCCCTTTTGTACCCTTGATGAGAAAAAAATATTGGGTTGGAAAACATTCATGATCGCATAATTGTTATTGATGGTGTTTCGGCCAACCAATAGGCATTCAACCTGAAACGAATTAAAATGATTAATTACTTAATGCTAAAACATCTATTAGTCTTACTACCAAGCAACTGCAGCAGCAGAAAATTAGATTTGTTTTGATTCTGCTGAGTTGACAGCAACAATATATGCTCCACAATAGTAGTAGTAGTTTAGTATTAGTAAAATAAGATGAATATCGACTGAGTTACATGGGTTAACAATGAGTTCACACTCGGTCAAACACTCAAAACTTGCATGCAAGTTATTAGAAAAGGAAAGAAGACAAGTTTAGATGTGTGCATTAAATTGGCAGTTGAAGAAGAGCAC